GACCACATGGAAATAGATTCTTACAGGCTCCTGGGACTTTGCTCATATGAATCCACAGCAATGGCGTCAGCACACACAAGACCCATGCAATCTCAGGCAGACAAAAAAACCAACATAGAACTATGGAAATGAGCAGCAGACCCCAATCTTAGCTGAACTATTGGCAGCTGATTAGTGCTAGGTGAGGGAGAACTGATCGTCTTTAAAGGTGTGACTTTAAATAGGCTGATTAGACCCCAGTGGATGAACTCACATCGAGGGACATCTGGGTACACTAACTTGATACAATAGGCTTTAATATAAATGACAGAATGCATGAAATCTGGTGGGGAGTGCTTTGGGAGGGTGTGGATGGGAGAGGGGTATAAAGATGATTGAGATATTTTGAATGAAAGTTATATTAAAGGCATCAAATAGGGGAAATTATAGGAAAACACAGGAGGCAAATAAACACAAATGGTAAAGTGGCTATTGTAATTTCAGTAGTATCTGTGATGACATTGATTTCTTTGCTTAGAAGCCAGACTTTCAAACTGGAAAAGGAAGACCCAACTATCTGCCAATCTCAAAAAAAAAAGTCCCTCTATTCAAAGATATAAACTATTTGGAAGTAAAAGGGTATAGCTACTCATGTATACCTCATACCATCATTAACCAAAACACAGCACTGTGACTTTCACCAGAAGACCTGCACGCAAAAAAAAACACTGACAGAGGACATAATGATGGATATGTGTGGAAATTAGGAGCTCCAGTTCGAAAATACACAGAGCAATGCAGGTGGAATTTAAAGGAGAAAAGGGAAATTTAACAACAGTAACTAAAGTTTTCAAATCTTATTCTCAATAATACCTATAGCCATGCAAAAGTTTTCAAAACTTTTTTGAAAACTTTTATTTATTTATTTTTATTTTTATGTATCTAAGTATTTTGCCTGAATGTAAGTGCTCCCATTTGTGCAATGCCCACAGAGATCAGAACAAGGTGTCTGATCCCCTGAGCTGGAGTTATGGATGGTTGTTAGCCCCCATGTGACATGCTATGAACCAAATCTGAGTCATCTGCAAGAGAAGCCGGTGTTCTGAAGCACTGAACCATCTCTTCAACTCCAATAATGCAGATTTCTTAACAATTTCAAATAAGTAACATTCTACTCAACCATCCCAGAATACACCCTCCTGCCCCAGACTTGTCCATTCCCTCAGACAGGACACAGGCAGGGCCATGACCAAATCCAGCTGCCATCTTACTCTCACAGGTCTGACTGTTCACTTCCCTGACACCATGACAATGCTCATGTATCAGTAGAGCAGGACAGCTTCAGCAGAAACTAAGATTTGCAAAATCAGGAAGAATATTTATTACCTGGTGCTTTATGAAAAAAAAGAGATTATAATCTTTTCTAACTCCCTATCATAGGTATTTTAAAGACTTCTAAAAATGTTGAAAGGTGGAAATCACAAAAATAAGTTTGTCTGAACATAAGACAGTTAAATTTAAAAAGAAAAATAGAAAGAAACCAGGAAAATTTCCCAAAATGTCAAAAATTAAAGAACATTTGTAAATAAAACATACTAAGAATAAATCACAAGAGAAATTAAGAAACATTTTCAAGTGAATGAAAAATTCAGTAATAGGTGAAAAAAGTTGGAGAGGTTATACAGCCTGTTAGCCAATCTTTATTATTATTATTTTTTACAGAAAGCCACTGTAACACAGGAAATGCCGTGTGTGCATAGAAAGGAGCACATCCCTGTGGGAAGAGCTGAGACTTGTCAAGGAAGGTGAGCTGATTCCCACAACAAGTACCTTCTTAATTCAATGAGGACTAGGTAGTTTTCCCACAAATGGTTCTGGAACAATTGAATATCCATGTGCATAAAACTAAATTTAAACACTCACTATACTATATACAAAACAGCCCCAAATATGGCAAAGATGGTTAAGACCTACCACTCTAAACATTTTTTAGAAGAAAATGTAAAAGAAACATTCTCATGAATCAATGGTAAAATGTTCTTAGGAATGTCCCAATACAAACCAAAAGAGTCCCAGGTGGTAGATTGCCATAAGCAAATGGGGTTTTCCAGACAGCTGCTCAGTTACTCATTTGAACTCATGGCAATAGTGACAACATGCACAAGTCCCAAATATACTCACAAAATCCCAGCAGAGACATGGGGAAGTAGGTAAGAAACCCCAACCCAACCTAAGGAACATTTGGCAATTGATGACTGCTGGGAGGTGGGGAGAGACAATGTCTTTCAAGGATATGATTCTTGATACGTTAACCAGGCTCCCATGGAGGGACCTATACTGAAATCATTTGGTGACACAAATTTGACTTACTCAGCCTTATTATATGTAATACAAGGCATTAAATTGGACGGGGGCACAGAGGGAAAGGACTCTAAATACCATCAAATTATGTGGTGTGAAAATCTCAAAATTTCAATACAAAATTTAAAAAATAAACCAAGAGAAGTTAAACTTGATCAAAAAATTTTTAAACATTAACACTTCCAAAGATAGGTATAGACTGAGAGAAAGCATTTGAAATCATACATCTCAATAAAGGGCCTGAATATAATACAAACTATAACAATTTTTAATATATACAAAACCTTTTCTAACTAAATACAACTAGACAAGAATAAAACTAAAAATGAAGGAAGTTTCAGGCTTGCAATACAGGCCTGTAATCTCAGCTACTTGGGCAACTGAAGCAGGAGGAACACAATTTCAAGGTTAGCCTGGGCTACAGATTCTGGGCAATTGAGTGAGACCCTGTTTCAAAATACAGAGAAAAATGAGGGCTAGGGGTATAGCTCAGTGGTAAAGCACTTGTCTAGTACTCCTGAGGCTTTAGGTTCAATTTAAGTTACCACGGAGGGGAAAAAAAAAAAGGATTCTTGCAAAATCAAACACAATCCAACAATGACACTACTTGAATCTGAAAAATATCCACACAGAATCCTACACGTTGGTGTTTATAATAGCTTTATTTATAATTGTCAAAACTTGTAAGTAATCAAAGTATCTGTCCATAAGTAAGCAGATAAATGAACTGCAGCATTGGCAGACAACAGACTATTGCTCATGTTGAAAGTCAGTGGGCTTTCAAATATGAAAGGATGGGACGAGAGAGAGACTATGAAAGAAGCCAGCAGCAAAGGCTGTGGGCTAGGTGTCCAGCTGTGTCTTTTCAGGAAAATGCAAGATGATAAAGAGAGTAAAAACGTCTTTGCCTGAGGTCCTGTGGAACCCGGGGATGAGGAGCTGGAACACAGATAATTTTTCAGACAGTAAGTCTGTTCTGTAGGAAGCCAACAGGTGAGACTGTTTACTGTTCCAAATCCACTGAATGTCCAGCACCAAGATGGAAGGCAGAGCAGAGACTGTGTTCAGGGCTTGTGCTGTGTCTCTGCAGGTTCATACACTGCAGCAAGTATCTGGCTCTAAAGGGTTGCTGACAAATGTGCACAGCTGTTACAGGGCATGGGTTCAGAGGGACTCTCTGCACCCTTCTTTCCATTTCATCATGAACCAAATCTGCCAGAAGAACTCTTTTCTTTTTCCCTTGAAAATTTCATTAAAAAATTATTTTTTAATGGAGGAGCTATTTGAATAGACATTTTACTAAATAGTTTTACAAATAGCTGATAAGCACTAGGAAAGATAATTAACATAGTTTCTTTACATTTATTTATTTATTTATTATATGTGGGGGGGCACACATGTGAATATGGGTGCCTGCAGGTAAGAGGGCAACTTTCAGGAATCGCTTTTCTACTGCTACCATAGGTTCTAGAGATCAAACTCGGGTCTTCAGGTTTGCTGGCAAGTGCTTTTACCCACTGAGCCATTTTGCCAGCTCTGCTTCTTAAAGTGTTAAACATGAGCTTCACTATCCTGCTATTATACTGCTGAAAATCTATCCAAGAAAGGTAAAAACATGTTTCTATATATACAGACATTTATGATACTGCTCATTTGCTAAACTGGAAACAATCTAAGTATTCACCAGGCTAGTGGAGAAACAAAAGTATCCTCCTAGCAATGGAAAGGAATGGATTACTGATACATGACAACATGAATAAGCTTTAAGAACTTTATGAGTGGAAACAGATACAAAGGGGTATATTAGATAATCCTATTAATATGAAATGTCTATAAAAGTCAGATTCCAGGACTGGAGAGATGGCTCAGTGGTTATGAGCACTGCTTGCTCTTGCAGGGGAGCCGGGTTTTATTACCAACATCCACATTGCAGCTAACAACCATCCATAACTCCAGTTTCAGGGGAATCCTATGCTCTCTTCTGACCTCCGCAGACATTGCATGACACAGGTGCACATACATGCAGGCAATCAGTCATATACAAAAATAAAAATAATAAAGTATTTTTAAACAGATTTTAGATCTTTAACACCTTATTCATAGTATATTTTAGTTAAACATGGAAAGAAAAACAAGCCTAAACTTTAAATCCAGTCTCCATTACATCTTCACGGTTTCCATGAGTCAAGTTTTACCATCCTCCATGGAGTGGTTAAATGAAATTTTTGTTTGCATTGCACTGGCACAGCACAGTATCTCCTTAAGCTGAAAGGAGGCTGGAGGTGGAGAAGTCTAACTACAAAACTAATTCTGCAATGAGGGAATGTGAGAACAGATCCCGTGCACTTCTGGGGATTCACCTGTGGCTACAGGCTGCCCTGATGGAAAGGAGTTGGGTTCTATGGGAAGGACTGAAATGGTCCAGCCCTCACCTTGAGCACCACAGCAAATGTGATCTCTGGACTCAGGCCAGGGAAAGGCTCCAGGACTAGCTCTGTGCCTGCTGTGGTCCTGGCTGCCTTGCATGACCTCTCTCTGCGTCAGTGTCCTGAAGGGCTCTGGTGACTGAAGGGTAATGAAGCGATCCTGTGTCATTCTCTGGCTGGCCTCATTACTACTCAGCCTTGCTCAAACACTGGTATCTAAAGGAGGCAGCTCACCTGTGTGAGGTCAGCACCACAGCACAGCCATCCCGAACTTCCTGTGTTATTGTTTGCCACAGATACCGCTTAGAGCAGGGGTCCATGCCAGAGCTGGGCTCATCCTGAGGGAAAGAAAACACACAGTGCTGGGTATTCAGTGAACACACACAGGAACGTACATCTACCATATGGGGCCAGACCCTGGTGGAGAGGAAACCCCTTTGTAATGCTGACAGACATCTCTTCACTGGCTTCTCTGCATTCTGCTCCACAGTCAGGATGAAGGGAAAAGGGAGGTGACAAGCAGGTGTCTGACTCCCCAACTCCTGCAGGAAGCTGCCCAACAGGCTCTCTTGTTTCTAGCTGAATTAGTGAGCTGAAATGTTGGGAGAGGCTAGAAGTAGGTTAGGGAGGTAAGGATCTGGCCTAAGGCACCCTGCAGAAGACCACATAAACAGCTAGCACAACTCCATGGTGGGGGAGGCACAAAATGAGTATTTAGGAAAATGATCTGGGAAAACAAGCAGAAAGCTCTCAACCCTGGTATATTTCTGTGCAGTTGAGAGAAGACACACCATCCTATGTGTTTCCATGCACCTGCCAAGAGTGACCATGACTTATGTGTGCATACTCATAAAGGTCGGAGGCAGCCTCAGAATTATTCACCCGATTGACAAGAAGAGGTGTTTTCTGATACTCCAGAAAGATGAATGCTTCAGATCTGAAGACAGCAGTGCAAGACTCCATGGAGACAGGATATTAGTAGCATTTCAGTGACCAAACCCAGTTAAATGGGGAACTGTGAGCTGGGTGACATAGGATTGGAGATTGCCATTTTCAGAAAGCTCTTAGCGTGAAAATAAATAGAAAAGTCAAGAAAGTCAGAAGACAAAGCATGAGCAAAAGAAAAGTTCCAAAGAGATAGAATCATATACAAAGAGCCAGGTAGGGATTCTGGAGCAGGAAGTACAGTGAGCAAAATAAACAGTGTAGTAGAGTCTATTGCAGATGAGATCCAGCCAATTAGAGTCACAAATACAGGCTATTTATCCAGTCATAGGAGAAAGGGGGATAAAAAGACCAACATGGAATGAAGAGAGCCACAGGATTTCAATATGGCAGTTGCGGACAAAACACAGCCCTTGTAGATTTCTGGAGCAATACAAGTTAGTGCAGCCACTACAGAAAGATTGTACAGGATCTAAACAGGTTAGCAATGGAGCAACCATATGACCATGCAATCCAGCAGCTCCACTACTCCACCAGAGGGAACACAGCCAACAGCAGTGAAAGTACATGACCATGCAGGCATGCACCAAGACCTTTACCTCTTCAATGTTCTTGTTAGTTGATGCATGAACAAACAACAGGGGAATTAAATGCCGTAAGTACACAAAGCAGACCATTTTGACAGCAATGGAAGAGCCTGGGAGATGCTTCTTTGGTGAAGTAAACCAAGCACAAAAACACTGATGTTGAGTATTCTCGTGTCTGTGTGTGTGTGTGTGTGTGTGTGTGTGTGTGTGTGTGTGTGTGTGTGTTTGTGTGTGTGTGTGAGAGAGGGAGAGAGAGAGATATCAATTTTATTCAGCCTTAAAATGAGTTCTTGATCACGCTTACACATAACATCCAAAACCCATTCCTACAAGGAGCAGGACAGTTACCGGTGGAGCTTGGGTCACTGTGGAGATGCTGGTCAAAGGACATGCACTTCAGATAAGCAATCTAAGTAAACTGAATTGGGAATTGCTATAATTGGAATGTTTTAGTACTCTTCAAAATTCATGTGGAGACAATGCCCAGTGCAGTGGGATCTGCAGATGTGGCACTGGGGAAACAATAGAATCATGAGGACTCCACACGCACTATTGGCACTGGATGCCCATATAAAAAGTGAACGATCACCCTGTTTTGTATTTGTGACTTCTACCTCCTGAGAACAGGGCACTCTGTTTGAGGTGCCGTCTTGAAGGCAGACTGTCACCACTCCAACCTGATGGTGCTTTAACCCAGGACTTCCAGTTACAGAACTGTGAAAGATGAGCCTTCTGTGTTTCCTGGGTTGCCTACCCTGTGATATTCTGTGATAGCAACACAACTGGCCTGGCAGGTACTGTAGTCAACAATACTGTATCCTATGTTTGAATTTTGCTGAGCAAGTAGGTCTTCAGTGTTATTATCATATTATGAAAAATTGGCCCCTAGGCAGAGTGACGAGCAAGTCAGTTAGCTTGATTATGGTCATCATTCCAAATGCTTGTTTGTGTTAAAACACCACACTGCACACTTAAGATGTAAATAGCTGTTATTTGTCAATGATGCCTCAACAAAACTGTGCAGTGGGGACACATTTTCATACCAGTTTTGTTTGTCATGGAGGTCTGTTTAGGCAAGCCAACGCTGACAATTTTAAAATGAAACCCCTACCTCCATAAACTTTCAGAATGGTTTCCACCAGAAAGAAGTATGATGGTAGAAAAGGCATCATTTATTGAGCAGCATCAAATAGACTGAGATTTCTTGGAACCTAAAGCTTTCTCCTTCAATAAACTCCAAAGCACTTGTTATCTGAACCACTTTTAAGAGAGATGGTGCTCAGCTGTGTGATGCATGCCTGTGCTTTGGCAGTCAGGGAGCACTAAGCACATTGCTCTTAAGAGCTACTGGCCATCAACTACCTCCAAAGAAGAACATGGAAGGAAGTGGGGAAAGGAACACCGGACAGAAAAACAAACACCTGTAAATCAAGTGGTATATGTGTACTGAGTGAATCAAAGCTGGAATCTATATTGCTCAGGCAGAGGGCTGGGTGCGTGATTTCAGACTTTCCTGGCCACTCCCCTCTTGTCTCTGTGGAGAGTGTCAGAGGCATTGTTTTAACCAGATGCTCTAAACAGCCACCCCTATCATAATTATTAAGGCTTGTTGCAAGTTGATTACTCTCCAGGTACTGGGTGCTATATTTTAGATGATTATTTAATTTACTGTTTTTAACATCTCTCCATGAGACAGACACAATTAACAGTATTGCTCAGAGACAGGAGGAAATAGGCTCAAATCTACAAGAATATAAGGGGAATTGTATGAATACAATTTAAACTTAGACTCTGGAGCCCCCACTTGGGCACCATGCCAGATCCTGGGCATCCATGGTGAGTGGGAGCAACAGTATACGCAAGAAGAGAAACACAGGTCTACAGTGAACCAAGGATGTGGCTACAGTGAATCAAGGATATGGCTTCAGTGAATCAAGGATGTGTCTAGAGCGAACCAAGGATGTGTCTATAGAGTAGAGGGCCCTTCAGTGAAAGGAGGAGCCACAAGGTACCTGACTGAGGGCTAGGACCCCAGCAAGAGGCAATGGGTGTTCATGACCTGTGAACTCAACACTGCCTGCCTTATTTTGACAGGATAACATTGTAGCAGAAAAGTAAAAGTAAAAGCGTATGCAATCAGACACCACAACAGTAAATAAATAAACAACCTTCACATTGGACCTCGAAATTTTTTATTATTTTTTATTTATTTTATGTGTTTGAGTGTTTTGCCTGCATATATGTAAGTGTACCCATGTCATGCAATGCCCATGGAGGTCAGAAGAGGGCATCAGACCCCCTGAAACTGGAGTTATGGATGGTTGTTAGTTATCATGTGAGTTCAGTGATCTTAACCACTGAGCCAGTAGTTCCAGCACCTTGGACCTTTTGATAACAAACTAAGAACTAAGTAAAACAAATATCCAGTGGAGTTTCCAAGAGTCAAGCAGTCAATGACAAGATCATTTTTTCTGACCTAGCTCTTCTGAATCTCCATTAGCTCCCACAGGCAGATGCTGTTCATGTGTGAACAAATCGTTAAGAAAATGTTCTTCTTTGATTCTATGCTTTTGATGGCCCTCTGACTCTCTTCAGGGTGAAATCTGAGGTGCACTGTGGTGATTAGAATTCAGTCAATGACATAGGAGCAATTCTCTTTACTTGTTTGAATGGCACTCTGTGCCGTTAAAGCTAGTTTTGAAATACATGCAGTTGGTTCTATTTATTGACAGTAATCCCTCCAGTCAATGTTTCCATTCAGCTAAACAGAATGGCTACAGATTCCTAACAGACCATAGACTGCTACCTCTCCAGGCCATGTTCTCACTATATCCCTTGGTGGGACCTCCATTTGCCTCCTTCCACATCCATTTCACATGAATGTGTTACAGAAGTTTCCACCACTTTAAAAAATACCTGAGGCAATAAACCTATAAGGATGAAATGTTTAACCTGGCTAAGAATTTTAATGGTTCTAACCCATTGCTGTTTGGCCCATTACTTTTGTTCCTCCATCAAGGTGAATCAATACATCATGGAAAGAGCCTGTGGTTGAGCAATAATTCTTACTTCATGATCAGGAAGTTACAAATGGAAAGAGGAAAAGCCTAGAGTCTTACTGCCCCCTTCAAGGGCATGACCTAAGCATACCCACTAAGCCCCACCTCTTACACTTCCTACTACCTCTCGTACCCGTGCTTTCTGTGAAGAAAGTAGTTATCACAAGGACTTTTGGGAGACTTAACTAAACACAGCAAACCCTGATTGATGCTCATCCTCATGCTTCACCAAGAAAGTGTCACCATAGCTATAATAAATACATATCTGCAAGCAGACAAAGACTGTAAAGCAGGAAAGGCATGCACTGGTTTTCAGATAAGAGGTGAATGCTAACATTTTAATACCATTGCATGTTAAGTTTTTATTGAAATTTTGTTTAACAAATACAAGTGAATCTATCAGAAGATGTCTGATTACTATAAAATTCTACTGATATTTTACAATATGTTGGGAAATACTCACTTAGTACAGAAGAGTTTATTAGTTCATCAAATCGGTGTTTAAATTCTGAAATTTACCTTCCAGAACTCTGATAGTTAAAATAATTTACGACATGTGTTTTATTTTAAGGCATCGATGCTGTACTGATATTCCATCACTCACCAGTAGCAGGATGTCAGGTTTCCCCACCAAGGCCAGGGCTGTGGAGAGCTTCCGTCTGGTGCCCCCACTGTAGGTGGCCACAGGCTTGTCCACGTTGGCTTCAAGATGCAGGCGTCTCACCAGGTCTGCAGCTACCTGGAAGGGAGACGCTATCTGTGATCCTACACCATTCTCCATGGTCCCTACCTGACCGGGGTTACACCCTGACTCCTGCTTCTCCCAACAAACCTGCACTCTACTCACACAGACATAGGACACCCTTAGAACACTTCAATTTCTGACATAGGGAGCAACACAGAAAGGGCAAGGGAAGGAGGGTTCTGTGTTCGCAAACCCTTGGGATGACCTGGAGAGCAGAGGACTGTGAATCACTGCTGGGCCTAGATAAATATGGGCTTAGTGGGAGGTATGTAGGTCATTTGGGGCATGCTCTTGAGGAGGGCAATAAGACTCCACATTAAGGTGTAAAGAATAAAGGGAAGTCACAAAGAAGACTGAGAAGGAGCTAGGTAGAAATGAACCCAGATAACAAGGCGTCAAAACCTCATGGGAAACTAACTGAAGGAGTCTTAGTACAGGAAAGAAGCATCCCTTTTACACTAATAAGCCATTGATAGCATTTCCATACTCAGAGTTTGGCTTGTGAAGTACCTAGGGGTGGGGATAGAATGGGAAATTCTATCCCAACTTCTGGGAGCTATCTGATTGTGAGGTGCGACTTCATTCAGCAAAGCTCACACATATCTCAGCCATGGGGGAATTCTGATGTCCCCAGCCTTATGTTCATAACCTCTTTCCAGACTGTATCTTGCCACACACTCTGAGAGCCAAGCTCATCCCTTCAATCTTAATGTAAATCTCAGTCCCCTCCCATGGGCATCAGCTGTGTCTGTAAGAATAAATTTAACCTGGTACTCCCAATGGTAATTTGCCCTACACTACTTATCTGTTTCCACTTCTGTCTCTTGTATAGGATCCAAGTTAGGCAAATTTTTGTTTGTTTCCAACTGTCTACATAATCTTAAATATATACAA